CACCTCCAACCTCAGAATTATAAAAATGAAATGAATCTTTGAGAAAAAGAACAAAGTTACCATAGCTTGGTTTTCTTCATTCTCTGTTTTCCACTGATTTCACAACTATTTCTGTGACTGTGCTTATTATTGAGAAGGGGGATTTATGAGCTGGAAGGAAATTGATTTTTTTCTTTTGTCTTTTTTTCTTTTTTATTGGTACCGGGGATCGAACTCACGACTGCCTGCTTGCAAGGCAGATGCTTATGCCGCTGAGCTAAATCCCCAGCCCCTAAATTGATTTTTTTCATAATTTGAAAGATTATACAATGTTTTTTACCTGTAACAAATCAAAAGTGCTGATCAGCTGCTATTGTCATAGATGACAATGGCTTAGGAAGAATTTTCTTAAATCGAAAGTTTACTAACAACAGAAAGATTTAAGAGTCCTCCATAGCATGACAGGTCTAATAAAACAATAATATGTAGTATGCTTTGAAAGTTATATCCATTATTTCATTTGTGCATTCCAGTAGCTCACATAACATGGGAAGAGTGAGGGACTTTTCCAAGAATAAAGCTCAGAGAAATTCAGTAATTTTCCAAACCTAAACTGGTACTACTACTCTGAACAGTGTCAAAACTACTTGGTGGCCGTTATGTTTTTATATCTAGATATCCTGCTAAAGTTTCTTGGGGTCACAGGCTGGAATTTTTGGTGATCCGATTATGGAGCTTGTAGCTGATTCCCTATTCGAAAGTGGGGTGGGATCTGATAAAGAAGCTCACTGGAGGCATGACCCGGAAGAGGAAGGGCTTGTCTCCCTTCTCAGCTCCTCCTTTCACACTCTGCTTCCTGTTTGCCATGCCTTGAGCAGCTCTGCTCTGCCTCATCCCTCTGACATTCTGCACTTTCTGTATAGCCAGCTGACCTTGGACTTAAACAGAGTAATGGGTGTTAGATACTTGTCTCAGGACAAAGAAGTAGTTTATAGGTACTATATCATCTCAGTAGTATTGTGCTTACTACTTACAGGTACAGACTCCAGACAAAAACACCTGACTTTAGATCTTGACTCCAACCCATATTAACTGAGATCTTGGGAAAATTCCTAAGCCTTATTCTTTTTGCCTGGACTTTCTTAGCTATTAACTGAGGATAAAAGCATTGTCTAGCTCAGAGGCTATTGTGATGCTTATTGAAATAATAAAGTATGAAGAATAGTGCACAGAAGAAAAACTATTCATTAAATGCTAGCTTTCAACAAACATTACAGTTATTTCAGGTAAGAAAATTATGAGAACTCAAGATCCAAAATTGTAACATGGAAGATCTTAGATTTACAATCAGGTCTGTGAGACAAGAAAGCTCCTGATGAGAGTCAAGTTTTTCCATCCCAGCGTCTAAGGTCTTTAAACCGTGTCTCTCTTCTCAGCATATTGATGGTCTCTTAAACTGCTGAATATGCCTCATACAGTCAGATCTCTGAGAAGTATATAACGTACCATTTGATTTTAAGGACATGATAGCCCAATTCTTTATTGGTGTTATAAAAGAAGAATTTTACAACGTATTGGTGCCTGACTACATACAAAGTAAAAAGTTCAGAAAAACCAATGTCTGTTTAGTATAGTCTGGAACATCAGGGAGCCCTCATGACCAAAGAAGTCTGATAATATTGGTGAGGAGGGAATGTATTCTTGGAATGTCACAGAGAAAGCAAACGTATCAGCTGTAAGGACAGACTCCCTAGTCATCATTAGGAAATAGTGGGAAAAAGGATAGGTAAAGAAGGTAGAATCCAATAGACTATCCAAGAGGTAGTCTTCAAACTCAGGCAGAAGGGTACTGAATTAAGAGGTAGATTTTAGAGCACCGTTATAGATTATTGAACATGGATTAAAGTGATTAGAGTGTTTGAGAAAGATTAATCTGTCAAAGAAGGAATGTAAACAATTAGAAAGACGAGAGCTTAGCTTCACTGATGATGGCTTTCTGAAGGAAAAGACAAGCTTAAAACAGAGACCAAGACTACTTAGTGATGCAGACAAAAAATGTTCAAAAGATCTGAGGTGGAGGGTAAGAAAGTGGACCTCAAGACAGATGTGACTTGCGGTCTGCTATACGTTTGGTTTATGTGGATCTTTAAACAATGTGGGAGACTTCACATCAGTAATGAATTTAGAAGCACACTGTTAAAACACAGATGGTGAAGGGGGATTAGAGATGAGGGAAAGGCAGATGGATCGGTGGCATGAAGGGAAATAAAAAAATAATTAAGACACTCTAAGTACAAGTACCTGCGCCCTAAGAGAAAAGTAAATGTTATGTGCCACAAACATACGCTAATGTCAGTGAAAAAAAGAAAAAATAAAAAAACATTTATAAGTCTAGAAGATCTAGTGATGCTGGGGTTGAGTTTCTGCGGGGCCAGCCCTGGAGCTGAGCAGTAGCAGCCCACTTAAAATGAGTGATGCTCACTGAGCTCTCACGCATCCTCCTTCCATGCCAGTTTTCATGCCTGTGGAGCTCACACGAATGTTTGATTGTGTGGTCCCTGCTGAGGATTTGGGGCCGGATGGTGCAGTGATAACAATGCTCGGATATGAGTGGCTGGGAAGAAGAGTTCTGAGGAAGGCAGATTCCTCAAATTCATCTTTGGATTCTTCTTTCTCTCCTTTTCAGTGCCTGGAATTCATAATGCAGATCCCTATATTAAGATGTCTTGTGTCTAAGAAATAACTGCACAAATGTATCCAGACTTCATAGCAATAAAAAGAGAAATTGGCTTCAAAATCTTACGTACTCCTTGCAGACAGGGCATGAGGTCACCCCCTTCCTTAAAAAAGGAAGTAACACCCTGTTAAAAATAGACCGAACTCAGAGCAAAACAGTAGCAGAAACAAGTCCTGCAGCTGTCATGTGATGTGAGAATCACAGAGAAATCATCTTGTTATTATAAATGCATTGTTTATATAAACACTTGTAAGGTTCTAAATACTGTGCTAATGCATGGAAGGTCTTGCCATCTTTTTTTGTACTTAGTGCAAATTCAGTAATTGAATTCTCTCTGCTAACTCAACCCTGTGATAAATGAATGGGAGAGACTTGACAAGGGAGTGCAAATAGGTGCTCTCAGGGCTGAGAGGAAACATATGTAAAGAAGCCAGCGTATGACCTGGTGCTTAGAATACATAAAATTATTTCTGGTTCTCTTTGGGTTACCGTCATGCTTTGACTTGTAAATTTAATAGGCAAATTTTATTGAGTCAAATGAAGCATTCCTCTGACTCCATGCCTGAAGGACAATCAGTGGAGATGGGTTAACACATTTTTGTTACAGCTTTCAGACTTCTTTATTTTTTCTATAAATTCTCTTCAAAATTCATGGAAAGCCAGATATCAAAGTGGCATTTGGGAGCATGAGGTTTATTTTATCAATACTTGATGATATCATACTTGGAATAATTAAATAACTTCCTTTGCAAGTTCGCACAGCAAATTAGTGGCAGAACGGGGAATAGAATCCAAGTTTAATTCATAAATCCAAGCTAATGCACTCAAATCATAATTATTCAAATTTATTCCCCAAGACTTAAATTCCCTGTTATGGTTTGAAATGTTTTTACAAAAGGGAAGGAAATGAAGTAAAGTGAAACTCAAGTATTTAATGTCTTCCACCGAGAAAATTGAAAATTCAACTTTGGTAACACTGGTCCTCTAAGGACATTGGCTTTTTTATTTTACCACTGGAAATGCAGATGCAGATGCACTGGAAATATTCCGTAGCCTTGGAATATTAATCTGAGCACTGACTTTGGTACCAATGGTAAGGATGACTCAGCAGGGCCATTGTTTGTGGGGCATATTTTAGGAAATTGAAAAAGTAAAGGGCAGCAACCTTTGTGCTGCCTTCACAACTGAAATTCACAGTGGAAAATTCCAAATAATCTTTCTTCCATATTCTCCTGTAAAAGGAAAATGATTAAATATTTAAATCTCCCTCAGGGAATAGTCTAGGCTATATGACTCTGCCCGTTAGTGCTTGTCAAGGAAGGAAGAAAAACTATTGTTAGATACAACCTTTGGATATAGCAAAATGGTTAGAATTATTCTGCATGTTTTTGGAGGATAAAAATAGACTCAGCATATTAAAATAAGCAGAAGACATTTTGCTTTGTTTCAAGTAGGCATTTTCTTACGAGTTCCCTAGCTCCAATTATTGGGTATGAGATTCATTAGGCAACTAAAAAACGTTTACTGCTTTCTGCTCCCAATCATCCTCTATTGCCTAGTTACATTATTGTGCCTCAATAAGTACAAACTACTTAAAACAAGTGCTCTAATCATCTTAGGCCATTAAGCCAAAGCCCATTAATAATATATATTTTAACGTTTTGGGACAGGATTTCAGTTATGCAATTCAGGTTGGCTTTGAACTCACTTTGTAGCCCAGGCCAACCTGTAACTCATCGTTCCTTGTGCCTCAGCCTCCTGAGTGCTGGAATTAAAAGCATACATCACCACACCCAGTCTAAAAAAATGGCTTAAACTAGGTAGCTCAGAATTAGAATCAGTGCATCTCTTGCAAATGTCAAAGCTGAGAATTCAGAGATGAAATAACTGGCAAGGTTTCCGCTCTGGTTCATAGACAGGACAGCTTCACTGTGTCCCCAAGAGATAGGCGTGATGAATGAGTCTCATTTGTTAGAGAACTAATCCTCTGTCTGATGACTCTGTCATAGCGTAAGCACTTTCCAGAATTTCCCATCTCTGAATAGCATCATCCTGAGGGTCAGCTTCCTAAGTATGAATTTGCAGGACACAAAAAGTGAGACCCCAGCATAGTTTTCCACTGAGCTCACATGGAAATTGTCACATTAGTATGTGATAAATATTGAGGAATAAACAAGAAAAGATAAAAAGAAAGACAGAATAAGAGTAACAAAGAATTTGGAATTTTTCATTCCCTTATTCAAGATGACATGAGAAATATTTCAACAAAGTTCTTTTATTTCAGATAGGTAATCTCTTTCTGGAGCTGATGTGGACAATAAAATTTCTCATGTGGTAAGTCATACACACTATTCAAAAATCATATATATATATAAAATCACATATATATGTGTGTAAAATCATATATATGTATATATGTACACATATATACCTTTATATATATAAAAGATATAGGTATGTGTGTGTCTTTTAAAATTGTAGTCATTTATACATCTGTTTCACACATGACATTTATTTGACCCTTAAATCAGAAATCTGTTATTCAATTGTCTTAAGAGTTAATGAACTGATCAGCATTGGCTTTAGATGCATTTTTGATAAACCTGGCATTTTAACCATGCTCTGTTAAGGTTGTAGTATTCCGAACACAGGAGGAAGAGTTTAAATTATCCTTATCACAGAAAAGGACATTGGATTTGGTAGCACTTCTTTTAATTATGTTAAATTGAAGCAAAGCCTGGTCCTGACAGTCTGTAATTACGCATCCATTATGACCTGACAGAGAAGAATAGGGAAAGAGAATATTCTTTAATAGAGAGCACAGGCATTCTGGCACACATCTCATAATCACTTCTAGCAAAATTGCTTTAAGGCAAGGTCAAATTTCTCGGTGATTGAAGAGAAGGCTATCAAAGGGCCAGGGCTGTGGTGTCAGAGGGAGCAAGGAGGGGTGAAGGGGGGAGTTTCTGAAGACCCCTGGGGAACCGCATTTTTGAGTTTCTTCTTTGAACCAGTGGCATCCACCTTGGCCTTGCCTGCAGTGACCCAGGCCAGTGTGTGAGCAGAATATTTTGTTATATCTCATCAGGTGATTCACAGTCATCATAAATCATTCATGCTTGACAATACCTCTAAGAAAGAGGAGCAGACACGATAATTCTCTCATTGCCATTCTATTCCACAATCAGTTGATCAGGGCCCTTGTCACTCTAACTTCTTTGACTTAATGCATTAAATCACAGTTGCCCCAACCTTACAAAGCTAGCTCTAAGAGTCATTTTGTCCAGACTCAGAAGTTTTCTTACTCAAAAGAAAGAAGGGGAGAAAGGGGAAAGAAGCAATGGAGGAAGAGACAAATGGAAAGAAGGAAGGAAGGAGGGAAGGAAGGAAAGAAGGAAGGGAAGGGAAGGAGGGAGAGAGGAAGGGAGGAAAGCAAGAAGAAAAGAGGGCAGACAGGAAGAAAGGAAAGAAGGACGATATAGGAGAGAAAAAGAATGAAGAAGAAAGGAGAAAAAGGGAGAAAGTCTCTAGGAAACAAATGGACAAAAGTAACAATGAAAGAAAAAAGAAAGAGAAATTGCTTATTCTTCATTTGGCAAACAGAAAAAAAGTAAAGAAACTGAAGTGGGTAAAAAGTTTTGTCTGACATGTTTTCTTTGTCTGTCCTTCCATTCAAGGACCTCTGAGCTAGCACGGTACTAAGCTACAGTGAATGATGCCACAGTGAACACAGCAATGCTGATATTTCTTCAGGATCCAGGTACCTACCTGCTGGATAAACATGCAAAACTGGGCTCAGGGAATTTTCTCTGTGCTGAGCTGTGCTTGCTTGGAGGACATAGTTCAGATAAAGGAGAGCTCAAATTCTTACCCATTTCAGTGCGGTCACTCAACTGTGCGCACTGAGGTCACAGCCACGTCTCAGATAGACTTGCGCTTCCTCACAAAGGCATTTTGGTCCATATATGGTTGAGAGCTTTGAGTTTCAGTGAGGAACACGGTTAGGTCTTCTTGTCCTGCTGTCGTGTTGATGTTAATGCCACAGAAGCTACTCTTATTTCTTTCTTTCTGTAAGTAACACTGAATAACAGTAATCCTATCCATGGGGTTATTTTAGAATGCTAACTCTCAGAGAAAAAAAATTATGTTTAACTTAACTAAGCAAACGAATCACTATTGTCTTCCCTTCCACACTTATTATCAAGGGCATGGACACTTCAGTGCTGAGAAAACCTGAGAGCAAGGATAACTTTTGCTTGCTGCGTAACACAACTGCTTCCCTGTCCTCTCCCACACCGTCCAGGTGATAAATGTTTTTATCACGGCTCTTGACTGTTTTGGAGGCTTTGCATGGTCTAGAAATACACTATCCAGTGCTGGTATGTTTGCTACAGAGAGAGTTTACGCATGTGAATAGCTTTTCAAGACCTCTTCGACATACGTTAAGCTGTATTTATTTAAAGCTTCCAACTTGGTACGTTTAGATACACGTATGTAACCGTAACAAAATACACACAGTCAATAACATAACCATCATCTCCAAATTTTGTTTGTGCTCTATTTTCCTTCTCCCAATCTTTCATCCTTGTCGCACTTTTGTTTAGGAAACCACTTATTTGAATTGCATCACCATGGATTACTTTCCTTTTATAGGATTTTTATGAATGAAACCAACTATGGCCTACTATTTTCAATCAGCTTAACCATTTGTCTGTAGAATATCATGTTGTCTATGAAGAACAATGTTGGAAATTCTTTTCAGTCTTGAAGTAGGACATTCCTGTCATTGCCATAGGTCACTATGGAGAGCCCCCAGGGCAATGGGAAATAGAAGGCAGTATCACAACTTCCTCATGTTTGTACTGTGAATGATGGCAGTGCCTCGCCACGTCAGCACTAAAGGAGGCTGAGACAGGAGGATCGCAGGTCCAGGCCCAACCTGGAAAACTTATCCAGACCCTGTCTCAAGCATAGACTAAAAAAAAAAAGTCTGGGGATATAGTTACACGTGAATTCTATGTGTTCAGTTGTGAACCACTCCTATTTTTATCAGGAATCTATCCTGAATTTCAATACACATTTTTTTCAGTTTTGGTATATTTGGGTTTTGTTTGTTTGCTAATGTGACAAACTACAATGATTTATTTTTTGGACACGCAGACAAGTTTAGATTCTTGGGACCACCGACTTTGTTATGATGTGTTATAGATTCAATTTGCTAATACACTACTCTGAATTTTCCCATGTAAGCTTATGAGGGATGTTGGTTGAGAAGTTTTGGTAATTTTTTTTCCCTTGGTGTTGATTTCAGGGTAATCCTTGCCTTATACACTGAAATGGAGTTATTCTTTTTTCATTTTCCAGAAGAATTGGAAGAATTTGTGTATGCCTAGTATTTTTTCTTTTTGGAATGTTTGATAGATTCATAAAGTCATAAACTATAGGAGTCAAGATTTTTATGTGGCAAAGTTTTAACTGTAAATCCAACTCCTTTATTAGACACAGGATAGAGTGGTTATGGTTATGATTATTCTTGAGTGAGTTTTATTTGAGTCTTTCAAAAAACTTGTTTGCTTTATTCAAGTTGTGACAGTTCACATTAAATTACTCATTTAACTTACTATAAAATAATGAAATGTAAATACAATTTAAAATTCAGTTTCTTAAAAAAATTCAGTTTCTTACTAGACTAGACTAGAGATACTGAGGACAAATGAATTATAACTACATATAGCTGTTTGAAACTATATTCAGTGGCATGTAGCATAGTTCAGCCACTGAAGAGAAATCTCTGTCAGCAGCTATAGAGATGAATATTAAAGTTAACGTAAATTATACTTTGAATAAACTATATTCTTTTATGCTATGTATTAATTGGGGATCAATATGGGAATAGGTCAGCTCTAGATGAGAAAAATTTATTTGAAAAGTTATTTCTGTAATAAGGATTTTTGTTTTGAATCATGTGTTTGATATGTACAGTAGATATTACAAATCACACACTTTTGCAGAGATTCAGATCACTTTTAGAGTAGGATTTATCAAATGCAGCTTTTCTAGTATTTAGAAGAGCAAGCCCCGGATCATAGCTGGCCTTTCCTAATTGATTTGATAAAGTAAAAGAATGAGGAGTACCATACATTACAAACAGGAACTTGTAATCCATAAGTTCTATTTTTTGATAAAACCCCTGTCTACATTTTATATTGCTGTGAAGTCTTTTTCAAAGAATATTTTCCCAACACAAGGTTGAAAGAGACTGTTTGGTGTGCATTTACATTGAAATATTGATACACAGTAGCTACCCTGAAAGCTGCAAATCATAGTTTCCATGGTGAACCTGTCACTTGTTATAAGGATTGATATCTCACGGGTTAGGGAGACTCAGGGCTGCCCTGAGCAGAATTCTCCTTCGCTTCCTTGGCATTTCTAAATGATTTGCTTCAAGTGGCTTGCTCTGTTGATAAGTGTGTGTTCAAATTATTTACACTAAAGCAGACCTAATCAATTAAATTTAACATCCCAACCTACAGAATAGGTGCCCCCTACCAGGACTGATCTTTTTGAAATAGAAACAAAAGCTTTGTAATTTCATTGAGAAAGTGAGGACTTCGGCTTAAGTAGAAGAGCAGCCTGAGGCTCCTTTTTCTATTAAACTAATTTACATTGCTTCATAGTTTTTTTTAAACGACATACATATTTTCATAACCAGGAGATAGGCTCTTAGCAATCGATTGCTTCCTCTTGATGTTGGGTGCATTTGGAACTCTGGAGAAAATACATCTGAATCTTAATGTCTTTGAATATGCTGCCTAATTAATCTGATCCTCACTTTCTGAACTCCAAAACAGATGATTAAACATATCTCACAAGGACATAGGAAAGCACAGTAAATAAGTGCATGTACCTGGCTGTCAGAAAGACTGGCATCTATAGCCTTAGGTCTGCCAAATTAATTTTGGAACTTGAAAAATGTAAACTTTCTCATTGGTCTATGGCACCAGTATGTACATAACATATGTAATATATATAATACATATACTAACACAATTATTATATGAATAAAAATGAATATATGTTAAATCTTATATAAATAATAAACATAAAACATATATGTATATTATACAATACATATATTGCATATTATCAAATATCATAAAAACAATAAATGCATCATATATTATCATATATCATAAAAATAATAAATGTTTATGAGTGAATTTAGTGATTAATAGATATCTTAAATTTGATATAAATTAAAATGATATCAAATACGTATTGTATGATAATTCTTATTTATAGTAAGTATTAAGTAATGGGCAAATATTGCAAGTAATTAATGTGGTTTTCTTGGAGTTGCAGTCATTATAGGAAATATTTTTTCATTGTATTCTTATTTTTTTCTACAAGAAGAATGCACAGGTTTGCAATATTAAGAATCAACTATGCCTTTAAAGAGAAAGCAGAAGCAGTTCTTGTGGTTTATGCGGACAACAGGTAACCAGCATACTTTTCTGTATGATGTATAGGAAACATGGAGTTAGACATCTTGCAAAAGGAAAGGGGTCCAAGAAGTGGATTAACGCAGGGAAGTGAAGGGATGTAAAAAGATGAACATGTGTTAGGTACATGTCTCTACTTCCCACCCTGAATGCTGTCAGTAGGTTCTGCAAACTCATACTAATAAAAATTAAAATTAAGAAAATATTCATAAAAAGAATACAGTGTGCTCTACTTTGGTTTCCTATATGAATCTTCCACACTTCTCTCATGTTTCCCTTTGACTGGAGATGAATAGAAATTTGAGTTCCTAAGGAAATGATTCTTTCTGATCTAAAGAGAAAAGTGCTAGGATGACTCACCTGAGCGCTGCCCAAACTCCAGGACCCTGGATAGCACCTGGGCTCCATCCTGGATACCTGCATGGCTCTTCCAGCTCAGTTTGTTTTTATAGCCAAGTACTTTGTTATTTCAGCTCATCTTCATGTGGAGAGGAAAATCCTGGTTTTCACAGCGACCCACGACTACCCTTGACATACTGTGGCTTGCATCTGTAATGATTCACCAAACTGCTGTTAAAGACAAGACGTTACTCAGTGAACTTCATGATGCTGGTCTTGCTGAAGCAGGCAAATACCTTCTACTTTGTTAATGATCTATTTAAATAAAAAAATACTTGGCCACTGGCTCTGTTTGGTGCTTGTCTGTGGGTCACATACTGGTGAATATTTTTAGGCTTCTTCAAGCAGCCAGAATACAGTAGATTAATAGAAGACCATCACCATACCCTGTTTTAAATCTTGACAATTGCTGCTCTCTCTGAGTATTTTTGCCAAAGTAACACTTATAATTTCTATCTCTAATGGAGTCATAAAAATTTGATGGCTCTTCAGAAGAGAATTCTTCTACAAAAAGGGAAAATTGGAGTAAATTAGTCAGGGAGTTTTCAGAGCCATCAAATAAAATGTTGTGCAGTGTTGTGACATTTCAGCTTTCAAATTGGTGCTGAAGCTTTGCAGTCAAGCTGATGAGCTCTGTCTGCATGTAAGAGGAATAAGCTAGTCAATACCTTGAAAAGCAGCCTGCAATATCATGGTCTATATTTCTAATCACTGAGTCAAGAGTATATGTTTCCTGTGGTTGAATTATAAATAGAAATGTCAACTGCTTGCAATTGGTTTTTAGGATTTCCTCAATGATGTCTAGAGAAATTTCCACAAATCTTAAGCTTCATCATATACACCTTCACAAAACTCCATCCTTTACCAAATCCTTTCACAACTGGAGCTGTTTGCAATTAAACACTTATGCTGTAGGTTGTTTTTTCATACAGCTTTAGAAAAAAAGATAACTGAGGTGGACAGTGAAAAGGATTACAATGCATTATTGTTAATGTAATTGCTATGTTATAGTAGTGGTAAGTAATTTTGTTTCTGGTCTTTTTTTTCAGTTTATGTTACTAGGAATAATAGTCCAATGTCTTTGGGTTGAAACTTGCATATTTTCTATTATTTCATTCCTAACACTTAAATGTAAATAGAATTATGGCTCCTCCAAGTTGCAAGCCAGCTTCCATTTAGAAATTTTGCAATTCTAAGATATGAATTAAGTATTTAATTCTTCATTCAAGGTGAAATTCCTCATTTTGAAAAAAAATCAAAATTCTTATCAAGGAAAGAAGTAGAATATTGTCAAATTTTCATCTTTTCTCTACTCATCTCTTTTTTCATACAATACTTGAAGGGGAAGAAAGAGGAGATAAAAGGATAAGATGATTTTTAAAACATATGATATATTTTTATTAACAGCAATTATTAGTGATAATGAAACCTAAACTTGGTTTGACTTTTAATCTCTAGACCAGCTCTCCACTTAATATATTCATTGGGATTTCCAATATTCACATTTTTTATGTGTGACAGGGTTATACTATGTAGTTCAAGATGGCCTTGAACTCCCTATGTAGCCCAGGCTGGCCTCAAACTCACAATGATTCTCCTGCTTCAGTCTCCTGAGTGCTGGGATTACAGCTGTGCACCACTGCACCCAGCACAATATCCACATTTAAAATGTTCAAAGCTGAGCCAGTTCACCCAAAAACTACTTACATTGGTCATCTACCCATTTTAGGAAGTCTTTCTTCCAGTTGTTGATGGCCAGATCTTTAAATAACCTCTCATTCTTCTTTTCACACATTGAGGTTTTTAGGAAATTTTGTTGGTGTTTACCTTCAGTATACACTGAGTATTCACCACTTCTCCAGTTACTGGTGGACTCCAAGCCACCGTCATATCTCTCCCATGCATTATCTTCTCATCATACTTCTTTGTATCTTCCCCTATCCCTTTATTCCTAGAGTGCAGTTTATGTAACCTCAGTTAAAATCCTGAAATGGCTCCCATTGCTACTTAAAAGCCAAAGTTGTTTGCAACATCATGCAAGACCTGAAATAATCTGGTGGCAACTATCTCTCTCTTCTCCTGTACAATTCATTTTCCCCATTATGCTCATTGAAATCCCCTGAGATTTTTTGAGTGCCTTAAAAATCTGTCTTGTGTGTTCTCATTCTGACTAATTCTTCTACCTGGAATGCTGTGTTCTCAACTCCATGGATCACCATATCACCTCCTTTATTTCTTAGTCCAAATCTTACCTGCTAACAACAATGCCCACTCTGTCTATCTTGATATTCGTGATCCTTATTTGGACCTTTGAATTCATGCATTTAGTATTTGCACCATAGACAGCTAGATCCTTAGTGTCTACAACAGTACTTAACAGTACCTATCAATGGAGTAAAAATTTATGGGTTGAACTGGATATACTTTCTTACTTTTAGTGGAAGCTTCCTGAAGCTAAAGCTTTTCTTCCTTTGAGCTGCCCAGATACCTCAGAATGGTTACCATTGAGTCCTTAGTCTTAAGAATCTATTTTCCACTTCAACTTATGATGCTGGAAATCTTCAATCATGTATATAGTACTATTCATTGGGACCTGGATGACCTCAGGAGGCGCATATCCGGTTCGTGGGTGTCTTAGTTACCTTATACTCGTCACTGAGACAAAATACCTGATGCCCAAGTTGGGAAAGGAAAGGTTTATTTCTTACAGTTTTTGGAGGTTTCAGTTCACACTCAGTTGGCTCCAAGATAGGCAGGCATGGCTGGACCACAGTTCATGGCAGCCGCCGACAGCAAGCTCGAACCAGCAAAGAGAGAGACATACCTTCTTCCTGCCATTACATCACATCCTGGCTCCACCCCTATGTGGGTGGAGCACTGACACCATCAATCCAAGCACTATACAATGAACCATCACAAATGAACAATGCAAACTCATGAGGCCTGGGGGACACAAACATAAACCATGACAGTGGGTATTATTCATGTTGGGAACCACTAATTCACAATGACCAATTTTGCATACTCCTATAAGAAATGATAAAAAATGGAGGCTTGGGTTATCAATACCTCCTATTTGAGATTTCCCAGTAACTCTTCTTATCATATGATCATCTATACCCTCTGGAGTCATTGTAGGATTATACTCCAGGACAAGATCTTCATAGCATATGATTATCTATGTCCTTTTGGGTCTGAGTCTTCCGATAAATTGTAATCCCTTGCTAGCCTCACCTACCACTGTGTCCCCCCAATAAGTAGTGGCTGCTTTGGGACTGGTTGGGAAACCCAGTTGGAGACACTGACTTCCCAGTCATTGATGCAATACTACATTGTCTCTGTTGGATTTTTCCCCTATTATACTCTTAAGACAGATAATCAGGACTCTTGGTCAGGCTCCTTGATAATTTCCAACAAATTGGAGATGTAATTCAAACAAAGTCCACCCTGCTAATATAACCTACTTTACATGGTCACTTATGAACCAGCTGGCATTTGAGTGTGTTTTCCAAAGAAACCGAACCAATATCTTCGTAATACTTAGTTGTTCAATCTTTACGGCAATGTGATCTTCCTTGAATTTACTGTTTTCCTTGGTAGAGAAGATTTACAGACTTTCACTTTGTCTTTTCTGCACTAATACACAGGTCAGTAAACACATGGGTCAGTTCTATAATCTGCTGAGTCTGTCTATTCCAAACCTTGGAAATGACCACATGCTGAATTTGGGTTTTTAGGTGGAGATAATAGAAAATGTGTTTATTCATTTAAATCAACTGGCTTATGCATATGCGGAGGCTTGGAAAAGTCCAAAATATGATGAAAGTAGAAAGCAGATTTAAGACTCAGGGAAACAAAGCTGGAAATTGAACCTAAAGCTAGTGAATGAGGAAGAACTGATGCTGCAGAGGAAATTTGAAGAAAGTCAGTTGGCAGAGCTCCCTCTGAGCCAGAGGAAGCCAAGATCTTGTTCTACTAAGACTTTCAACTGATGGGACAAACCATGCAAGTTGTGGAGGTCAATGTGCCTACCTAATGTCCATGGGATTAAGTGTAAGTATCGTCTATACACATCATAACACACACACACATCCAAAGTAATATCTGACCAAATACCAGGGCACTGTGAACTAGCCAAGTTGACACATTAGGTAAACCACACAGACTTACTACACCAACTGTCACATGGACTTGAGCTCGAGTTCCACCAATGATTTCCTGCACATTAGCCTCTGCTTAGATAACAGATTGGGGTGGTATTCTGGGTCTTCTAGGATTTGTATTATGTTACAGCCAGCTCTAATAAATCCTGCAAAATTAATTTTCTTTCTACAAGGCACCAACACTCCAGACAAGGCCTATATGTCTTTCTGAGGAAAATGAGTGACATAAATTTTTGATACAAGTAAGGTTCTTACTCAGGTGTGTCTGATCCCTTTTTTTACATGTGTTCTAGATCTATAAATAGGCTCAATTTTTGAAAATGTCCATTTGTTTTAAAAAATAATTCAAGACAGATTCTATTCAATTAATCTAGAACCTTTTCTTTCATAGGTATTGAGCAAGAATTTAGGTAAATGAGTTCTAATGACTTCAAGATTAACTAACTAGTATCACAGATCTCTGAGTCAAATTAGTCTTTTGCCGCTTTGGCTCTGCTGTTCATGACTGTAGTCATGGTCATTTTATCTCTGACAATTAGATACTTCTACTTGGTCTCTGGAGATCCAGTAGCCCCAATTAGATTTCATAGTTATTTAAAAAATTATTCTTAATATTTGTCTCCTCCAGACTGTGCATATCAAAATATATCTTAGTGGAAATTCTCCAGAGAAATAGAACCAATAACAGTGGGGAGGAAGGGAGAGAGAATTTAAAGCTAAGTACAATCATCCTTCTGTCCCTTTGCAGAGTGAAACTTACAGCATATAAAGCCATTTGCATACACACACACACACACACACACACACACACAACAGTTTTTTTACAAACTTTTTTGGATTTCTTGCACAATTTTCTTAGCTTTATCTAACTGTAATTCATAAATGATGTGATATGACCCTTCACAAAAATAGACAGTCATGAATCCACATACATTTTGATCTTGGGTAAATTTTCTGAATTGCAGACAATTATGTTTCCTCTTCTCTTCTTTGAAGAAGGAGACTTTAATCTCACTCTTTTGTAGAGTGTGTTGTGAGAATTCGGTGATGGATGAGTGTGGGTGATTCGCATTTCTGGCTCAAATCCACTATTGGTTCCCCATTTGTCCTCCTCCTGG